CAATAATGCTCGTAAGAAAATACGTGATGTCTTGCTGATCGGCCGCCTCTTCGGTGGGCAGGGGAACAGGGCACTACTGCTCGGATTCGGGGCAGGTCAGGGATCTTTTTTCGTGGATATAGGGCAGTTGGAGTGCTCGCAGCCTCGTCCGGGAAAGGCCCTCGAGCGTTGCTGTTCCTTTGGTGGCTGGAGCTGCAGCACCGCACCCGGGAATGCGGGGAGCCTGGAGTAAGAGCTCGGAGTTATCCACTGCCTTTTTCCATCGGGAGGGCGGGACAGCCAGGTGCTTCCAGTGTCGCCAGAGCCGCGCGTCCAGCAGCAGCACTGAGGGAGGGCAGCACAGGGAGCGCCCCGGGCTTACCGTGAGGGGCATCGTAGGGACGGCGCCTGTGTGCAGGTGGCTTCCCTTGCCGAGGAAAAGGCTTAAGACTGGTGGAAACGCTGGCTTAGGTGCAGAAGCCAGGGGACTGGTAAGCCTGCGAGGCCAGCAGGAGGCATCAGGACAGGCTGCTATTGAAATCTGCAGTTCTCCAAGCCCTCTCTTGGTCCCTGCCGGGACCGTGTGGTTCGCGAGCAATTCGTTTGTATTTAAGACACCGAACAGATTTATCCCTTCTCCTGCCGTTGACCCGTGTTTCTCCACGAGACATTGTAGGTTTTGGAGGATCTTTCTAGCCAGTGGGTTACAAAGGTGCTTTGTGACCCACATGGCGGGCGAAGGCTCCTGACAGGCTTTCTAGATGTTTCTGCTAACGCGGTTTAACAGCTGAACAGCATGACCTACATCTTTCCCCAGTGCTCTTGAAGAAACGTCAGGCCTAGATGGCATTAAAGCTGCCTCCCTCCCCCCAGTATCTTTCAGTTTAAACAGTTTGAACAGTTTAGATTTCTTACTAAGCATCTGTCAGAGCAATGAAGCTGGTTATATCCACCTTTAAGCTATTTTGCTGTCGTGCAAACAACATGCAATATACCTGAGATGCTTTTCTACCCAAAGTCTTCCTGTTGCAGGGAGGCCAAATGAGTTTTGGTTCTCAGTAAAACTCAGTTTGCTGGAAATCCTGCTCCAAATGCTTGGAGCAAGTTATTTCACTTGGACTTTCAATTAACCTCCATAATTTCTACTTTCCTTTAAAAGGTCCACTGCTGTTTCTGCAGGCACTTTTATTCTTTAATATTGATGGATTTTATTTAATCATTTCTTTACTGTTAGAATTACTGAATATGCAAAGTAAGGGAATAGCATGAGTCAGCTGATGGGTGGATTAAGGAAAGATACCGGAAAAGAGAGTGTTTGGTGGCCACTAATTAGAAGTCACCAAGTTTTGCCTTTTCCTGGATCCACCCTCGCAGAGTGGATGTAGATGGCAGGGGAGAGATGTGATTTGATAAACTACATCCCCTGGGATTTGCCAGATCTCCTGTAAAAGAGCAGATTGTCACTGAACTTAGTGACAGTTTGCATGGAAATTGAGAGAAAAATGGATCCTGGTCACTTGATTACAGGGCTAATTACAGTGTGCTACGTGGGTGTCCACTGACAGTAAAAATACCACCCTTTCTACACTGGGTTTGATGTTGCTGTAAGCAGTTGGGAAGGCTTAGGAGGGCTGTCAAGCTGTGGTTGCTGAGGAATCTTTCTCCACTCTGCCAAGGTGTGCTGGGGCAGCCACATCTGGGGCTGGACATTGCTGAGGAGCCTGACCAATATTCCCCCAGCACACACAGGAGGTGGGCGGAGCGGTGGGAGCTGTGCGGAGCGGTGGGAGCTGTGCACAGCAGGCTCCTGTTTCTGCTCTCCAAGGGAAAGGAGAAGTGGGTGAAGTTACAAGGGTCAGTAACAGACAGGCTGAAGTGGCAGCGAGGGAGGTGTTTCTTTGCAGGATGCAAGGAGTCTTTCTTCCACACAGACTCCTGACATCCATAAACCATCTGTCCCACTGGCTGTCCACCACTCCAGCTGTCACATGGGTGTCCCCTCTTGCTCCACAGTCCAGTGCACTTGCCAATGGGCCAAGACTTCTACCTTTTTTAAATCCCCTGAATTATGGAATACACTGTGCTTTCAGAGCCTTTTTAGAAGTTTTCTTTGCCAGCACAAGAGCATGAGACACTGGTTTTGGAAAACAATTTGGACTTTTGACATCTGAGTTGTAAAGGAGATTAAACCAAGTCAGTGGGTTATTTGCATTTCCCAGTGGATTCTCTGTAATTTCCTCCATGATTTAAAAGATAGTTTGAAAGTAAAGGAAATAAGAGAGTAACTGGGGGTATTACAAGGCTGTTGATTTCCCTAGACAAGTTTGTGGTAATTTTTAGGCAATTCGCATTGTTTATAAAATTTACAAAACGGAAAACACAATATTGGAGTAACAAAATCCTGCAGTTCTGCTACTACATCACACTCTGAGGACCACTGCTTTCTTATTTCAGTAACAAGTTAAAGGTGATATACAACGAGGAGAGAGAAATTATGAGTGTCTTTTTGAAGAGAGGTGAGCTCAGGTTAATTTCTTCCCGATAAAGAAAAGCTTGTCTCTATACCCAAAGGAAGGAGCTCCCTGCCCTACCCCTTGTTCTGAGCCTCTTCCCTCACCTAGAGATGCTACACAGTGGCTGCTTGTGGCTTCTCACTTGTGAAACACCACTAATGAGAGCAATCTGTAATTATTTCTGGTTGCCCTTGAGATCTTCAGGGAGGTTTGTAATTTTCCTGTGGCACTTCTCCCTAACCCCATTTCATTTTATTTGTAAGACTGTCCTGTGGAGCTCAGTGTCACTGGACTGGACTTTTTTTTTTAAAAGGTCCTCTAGCTTTGGTGAGAAGTTGAGATGTGTTTTCAGAATGACCTTTCTTAGGACAAGCGCCCCATCAAAAATATAGTAGCATAACTTGTCCATTCAGAGTACATACATTGTCAGCCTTGTACTCCTCAGCCCATGGAAATGTGGGGTCACATCTGCCATTTGAGGCATTTTTTGGCAAGCCCAGGAAAAGTTATAACCCACCTTTCCATCCTAGGGCTTAAAAGTTGCAGCTACGTAAACATTTTGTGTAAAAAACCAAAAAATAATCCACCTGCACTCACCTTGGCCTGAGGCAGCTCTGTCCTGTGACCAGGCAGACACTCTTGGCAGGCACTTTCACAGGTTGCAGTACTGTAGGGGAAGCTTAAGTTGGGAAAATAACTGTACACACCAGCATGTACCAACAGTTCCTTTTAAAAGCAAGTTAGCCTTACCTCTGCCAGGTTAAAGGAACAGCCTGTTTCCCTGCCAGGAGACCTTGTTCCCTTACATCAAAGACAACGTGAAGGAGTATCTGCGTGCTCACTGGGAGGAGGAGGAGTGCCAGCGGGATGTCGGACTTCTGAGGAAACAGGTTAAGTAACAGAGCTACACCGTGTCTCTCCGGGTTTTCAGGGCATGCCTGGGGCTTCAGGTCACTCAGACTCCCTCGGTCACCCAACGTGAGCCCACGTCTCTTTGCCCCTCTCTGTGGAGGCTGCTTGCTTCAGTGGTCCGATTCTCCCCCTCCCAAAGCCTGGGGTTGTGCTCAGGGAAGGGCTGGTGCTTGGCAGGCAGCAGCTCAGCTGCTTCCCTCAGCTCACCTTGGTCTTCACGGCCCCCGGACAGCTGTCGAACCAAGCCTTTTCAGCCTTTTGCCTCCACCGTGCCCTTCTCTTGTTGAATACACACCTCTTCGGGAAGCAGCGTGGAGAGATGGCAGAGTACTTGTCCTGCACAGGGCAGCATATCTTGCCTCTCTACAGGGACAGCATCAATTTGAGACCCGTGGCTGAAGCCAACAGACACATTCGCTTCTTTACCTAATTTCAGTAATGAAATACTTGAGCAAGTGTAATGCTCATTGGAGTATTTACAATACAGCTACAGTAATGCTAATTGTTTGGTTTGGAAAGTGCAATCCAAGCAAGTGTTTCTAGACACTACCAAAGTCTGAATTTCCCATTGAGAAAAGCATCCAAACAATGTTGTAACCCCTTGTGTGAAGAGCAGTTCAAGCTGTGTCCTGCACAGAGGTGCATGGATGCAGCTTTTAGACCACTTCCCTACATTGAAGGTGTTGAAACCTCTCCACCTCTTCCCTCCCCTCTTTTTATCGTGGGTGGTTTCCAGGCTCAGGAGGACTCCAGCTTGGACGGAGCCGTGCCAATCCCTCTGGAGAGCGGAAGTGGGGAAGAGGAGCTGGAGCGGGTCATCCAGGCGGTTGTGGACAATGTGCACTGGCAGATGTCCCTGGACAGGAAGACCACAGCACTGAAGCAGCTGCAGGGTCACATGTGGAGGGCAGCCTATGCAACCGGGCTCGTCAAAGGAGAGTGAGTAATTGCGTGAGTAATTGTGGGCCTCTTCCTGTGGGGCAGGTATGGGGTCCATCTTTCCTGGACATTTATTAGCAGAATAGCTGCATAAGCTGTTCCTGGGAACAGCCCCACATGGAAATGCAAGTAGGATCACTGGCTCAGTGGACAAGCCAGTGTGTTTGCGTTCAGTCGTGGCTTAAGCCAGGCCACTGCTGTTGTGGAACCAGCTGCAAACACTTCATTTCAAACTTGGTCATGCAGTAAAACTCAAATCCACTGAGCTTAATCTTTGGATCTAGGCAACAAAGAGCTTACAGTAACCTAGGGACTGACCAAGTTCCCCCTGGGAAGAGCAAGTAGGTGAGAGTGTTTCTCCTTAAGGAATAATTGGCAGGTACGTGCTGGGGAACCGCCAGTTATCCAGCAACCTGAGCAGGGTCCATAAACTAGACAGGGTCTGACCAAAGAAACAGGGTAATGGAAGCATGAGTCTGCTCCCACAGGTGGTGGAACATTCATCGCGGACAACTGCATTAAAAAACTTGGAAAATGTCTCAGTATTTATCTAGAGAGATTTCTTGATAAACCAAGAGGCTAAAGCACAAGTATGAACTTCTTACAGTTCTCCATCTTGCATTTTTTATCCCCGAGTTGCACTTGTATTTTGGAACAAATATAAACAAGCCAGGGTTGCAGGGTCAAGTCCTTTCAGTCATTTCCTCCTGGTTTGTCTTTTACCTGTGTGTTTCCTGCCTTTCCACTTCTTTTTGTCTTCAGGTCCTTCTTTATGTTCCAGCCACAACACAAGAGTGCATAAGTAGGGACAACTGCAGCTAAGCTTGATCTTCTTATTTAGGCTAAGAAATACTTGGTTAAACTATGCATTTCAAATTTCTAAGTAAGTAAAAGAAGCCCTAAAATTCAGAGTGTTTTGTCAAAGGAAGAAAGAGGAAGAAGAAAATGAGCTCACCGAAAAATGTAAACATCCACCAGAGAAAGTAACAAAACCCAAAAACAAGTGAAAAGAGACAGACATCCTGTTGATTTTGTTTATAAGACAAAGCTAATTGTCTTATAGTGACCCAAAAACTGTGTGGAAAGCCTTGTGCTTGGCCTCATCTAAGGAGGGAAGTCTCTAAAGTCTCCTCCTTGCCCAGCTATATCTGGCACATTAGTGTCTGAGATCCAGGCCCTGAACTTAGCACATGAAAACACAAGGATGGCTGGGAGTTTCTGCCATACAACCTCAAAATATTTTCAGCTGACACCAGAGACATTATTAAATAACCGTGGAAAAAAGTGAAAAGAAGCTAGAGATGAAGAAGGGGCCAGCTGATTGCTGCAAATCTGCAAAATTTAGTCCAACACCTCCTTCTGCATGTGAGTCCTCTTTCTTTAGGCATCCAGATTCCCTTTTCAGTACCTTTGGGCCTTGGCCCAGGTGGCCACACAAAGGTGTGCATCGCAGGTGGGAAGGCTGCAGTTTGGACTGGGATCATTCCCTTGAGATCACATCTCCTCCAGCTCCTCTCTCCAACCTTCTACCACATCAGACTGAGATCCTTTCCCTACCTCTGTGAGGCTTTGTGGCCTTTCCTTACCAACCATCCCACGTATTATTGAGGCACTTACTGTCAGCCTCACTTTGTCCCTCCTGGGCATCCTCTAGCCTTCAGTTTCCCCCGGTGCATGGGTCATCTTCAAAATGTCCACACAAAGAACTTTTACTTACACGTGCGTGGGGCACTGGAGAGATCTCGTGGTATAAATGAGAAGCAACAACAGACATGTCCATTAGCAGTTGCCTTGGCTTTAGTCCTCCTTCCTTCTCTTACAGCTTTGCTCCTGTGGCTGGGCTTGTCTTCAGTTGGCTACTCCCCAGAGTTAGATGGAGCTCACATTTTGAGGCTTGTCAGCCCATTGCTAGACCAGTACCTTCCTTTCCCAGCACTCTGCAAGGCCAGAAGAATAAGGGGGGAGGGATGCTGCTGCCTACAGAAGGAGAGCTGGTTCACCCTCTGTGTTGCCAGGGACATGTCTGGCCCATGCTAGTACTGTACAACCCAACCCAGTTGCTGAATAGAGTAGCTCTGACCTCAGTCCCTTAGGGGACACTCCTTCCCTGAGTTGTTGTCTGGCTTCAGAGAGTTTGTACAGTGCCATTCGTTTGGCTCCTGCAGCTGCAGCCTTGTCTCAGCTCCTCCCTGTGCATGGTTGGGGCCTGAACCCACGCTGGGGCTTTGCACCACATGGATGCAGCTTACAGCCAGAGCTCTTAGCAAGAGGGAAGTCTTTGTTGCTTGCAAGGCAGGTGGGACTCAGAATGCAAGAGCCTGTCTTCTCTGTCCCCCACTTATTCCTCCCTTGCAGAGAAAAGTGATGGGATGCCATTTTCCTCAATCTTCCCTTCCCTCCCCACATTGAAGGGGCTGGAGAAACTGCTGCCAGATGTCTGGAGCACTTCATCAAAGCTGCTGTCTGCATAGCAGTCTGTGAGCTGCTCAGCTGGCCAGAGCTCAGAGTACATCACTGCTGGTGAAACAGACTCCCTGGTTGCAGGGCCCCTGAACAGATTGAGAATGAAGTCCCCTTGCAAACTAATGGGACAGTTGTCACAGTGCCTGGATAAAGGAGTAACTCCAGGTGCCCCTGGATTTGCCCTTACCTGCCATCCTGTTTTGCTCCAGAATCTTTGAGGATGTGGTTCCAGCCATCCGGAAGTGGCGGGAAGCGGGGATGAAGGTCTATATCTACTCTTCAGGCAGCATTGAAGCCCAGAAGCTTCTGTTTGGATATTCTACAGAAGGTGATATCCTAGAGGTAGATAACCTTACCACCTTCCTTACAGCTTCTCCCTCTGCAGAACGCTCCCCTCCCACAAGCCCCCTTGCTGTAACACTTGGTGAATGAAGTCTGGGACAGGAAGGTGGGGGAGTGGGTTTGACCCACGGGAGTTAAGCTCAGCCAGTTGACTCTGCTGGCACGGCTGCATTGGTCCCTGGTTCCCATGGTAGAAAGGAAAGGGGAGGGCTCACTCAGGAGCGAGGTTTAGCCCTGCTCTTCAGGTGGCATTCAGCAGTGACCTGTGCTTCTCTCTCTCTTTCAGCTCTTTGATGGCCACTTCGATACCAAAATAGGCCCCAAGGTAGAAAGTGAGAGCTACAGGAGGATTGCCGCCAGCATTGGGTGCGCCACCAACAACATCCTCTTCCTGACGGATGTCCCACGAGGTAGGTGGCCTGCCAGTCCTGCTGGTTCTCACCTGTGCAGAGGAGGCAGGTGCTCTTTAAACATGTGCTGCTGACTTGTCCCAAGCACCCCAGAAATGCTGCACACCGCTTTGCTTCAGCACCTCCCCTCTAGCTGTTGCCATCCTCCCTCCTTACACACCCGGGCTCGCACACAGCAGTGGGATGTCTGTGAGCAGCACTGCAGTGAGGGAAAATAGGTCAAGTAGAAAACCTGCCTTTGCACCAGCAAGCAAGGAGAGACTGTTAAAGCGGAGCAGAGCATTTGCTGAAGCAGTTGGCATGTCCCGGTTACAAACAGGGTCAGTGGTTTGACCCGTGCTCAGGGGAACTGATGTAAAGCTGTGCTGCTACGTGGCACATGCTGGTGGCTGGTTCTTTGTGCCACTTACGGTTAGGTTGTGTTCAGCAGCAGGAAAACATTCCTTCTGGTTGCCAAGACTTGACCCCTGGAAAGCCAGGATTGGGAAGCTAATTTAATGGCTTGTCTTTGCTGGAAACATCTTTCTGGTTGCAATCTCAGTCTAAACCAACCCAGTCCCCAGGAGTCGGTCCTTACCTCCTCTCCAGCCCTCCCAGAGCTGCTGGGAGCTTGTAGTTACCTCCTTTTCCCTGGATCACCTCCCTGGATTTCCTCTTGTACTCAGGGAGCAAAAAGAAGCTTGTAAGAAGTGACTGGGCTGGAGTGGGGTGTGGGTTTGACTCACTAACACCACAGCCTGACCACAGCCCAGCTACCCTGTGACAGGAATCCAGCTGGAAGGTGCCTTGAACAGCCATCAGCTGGGAGAGGGGAGGGGATAGTGAGGCAGCCAGCTCCTGTCCGCTCATGTTACCTGGCAGCTACAGCCACCCACAGCAGGTCTGCCAGGAGCTGGTTCCTCTCTGGAGCCCTGCAGCACCACGTGCAAACTGTGCTTTTTCAGTCTCAACCTTTAAAAGCATTTCAGTGCTTTGGAGATCTTCAAGCCTTAAAGACCTTGATGTGAAGAGGTTGGTAAGCAGATCTCATCTCCACTCTCCCCACCTCTGTTTGTTTCAGAAGCCAATGCGGCCGAGGAAGCGGATACTCACGTGGCTGTGGTGATCAGACCAGGCAACGCAGGACTGACAGACGATGAGAAATCCTATTACAGCCTCATCTCGTCTTTCACCGAACTTTTCCTGCCTTCCTCCACTTAGGGAAAGCGGTGCACGCACAAAAGACTGTGCTTCACCTGAATTGTCCTTGTGAAACATTAGGTAATTTTGTCCATAATAAGAATTCAAAACCAAATCCACATCATGTCTCGGACCCACAACCAGTGCAGGCAGGTACGGATGGACAGTACGGTGTGGGGTCCCTTGCGCAGTAGGACGGATGCCTGCTGCCAGCTGGAGCTGGGAACAGGGTGAGGAGCAGCACCCATGGGCCCTGCTGTTCCTCCCCTTTCCTGGCTAGCAGTTAGCTAAGGAGATGCTTCCTTCAGAGTCACCCACTGAAATCTGGTGCTGAGATGCCCCACCATGAGCTCTGTCATTTTTAGCAGCAGTCTGCAAGCAAAGTTTATGTCCCCTTGTCCCAGAGGGACACCTGAGGACCTTGAGGGGATATGATCTCCTCCCTGCAAATGGGGTTGCTGGCTAAGTCAAAACTTTCAAAGTTAGGATTCCCAAAGGAAAATGCCAGCTGTGGGCTGTAACACAGTAGCTGACAAAGAAAAAGCCAGCCCTTGCTGCAGGCAACCTCTTTAGATAAAGAACAACATATATCTTGACTATATCTGCAGCAGGTCTAGGTACAAAACAGTACAACTTGCATAAGGAAGCTGCTTAGAGCTACACAGCCAGCCTACCAGAATGAAGTAGAGTATATATAAGTATAGCTTTAAAAATTAAATTCTGGACACACTCCACTGCTGCACTGTGGTGCTGGGCTATAGGATATTACTGGCTGAACACCAAAGTCAGTTTGACTGCATTTCTGAAGTATCTCAGCATTAACCCATGGAGCTCCTCCTCAGTAGCCAACACTACCCAGTCACCCATTCATAGTACTGGTCAGCTGTGGGCAAACCTTGACAAACTGCTCCCAGGGGGGACATCCTGCTGCATTTAATGAGAATTAAAACCCTGACCTGTTCACCCTACCTAAATTGTGCCAATGTATATCAGATGCTCATGGAGCTTTTCCTAATACAGTAAATAAAAAACCAATTTGGCTTTCATTGTGTTCACTCCATCACAGTATTTAGCCTTCCTGTCTATCACCAGTGATCCCAGCACTTAAAGGCAATTTTTTTTTTTTTTTTAAATCTGCAAACACTTTGTTGTTCTGCTTTCACCTTCCCCAGTCCTTTCTCTGAAGCAGCAGCCTTGTCCTGCAAAGGAAGCTGTATTACCTCACTGACCACTTTAGGGTTTCAGCTGGGGCTCAGTGGGGGTGCAGGAGTGAGAGCCACAGAGGTTATACCTGGTAGGAGTGGAGGCAGAGGCAATCTGAAATCCCCGTTCCCTGCTCCTGGCACTTTGTGTTGTGTATGGGTGTCGCTGTGTACTGAGCACTGGCACTTGAGCTTGCCCTCCCAGCCAGACAAAATACAACATTAACATGTGTGCTGCCTTCCTGAGCTCTGATCTGCACCTGCAGCTCTCCCTGTTGATGGAGGCTGCTGTGTAAAGGACAAGCAAGAGATGGGCATTTGGGGAGGAAACCACATCATGCCAGCACTGCCCTTCTAAAACTTTGATAGTAGCAAGGTCAGGCTGTGGGGCAGCTGGTCTTGGATGCCTCTCTGGGCTGTGTAATCAGTGTGATCCTGCTCCTAGAAAGAGCCAGCTAATTAGTGCTGTTACAATAAGTGTATCTGCATGGCTGAATAGTTCCTGGCTTCCTTAAGTGATACTGTTAATCATTACACTGTAAATACTCACCTTTTGTTTTGCCTTTGCCGTCAGAAAGCTATGCTTGGGGTAGGGGACAAAAATAAAACTCACTTTCTCCATAAAAGCACTTTATTTAGTGGTCATGTTTCAGTGTATATCAGTTGTCACTTAGTTGTACTGAAATGTGCTGTTAGAAATACTCTAAGAAATGTACAGAGTTATCACTAAAAACCTGAAGTTCAGTTTGGATTGCATATAGGAAAAGGAGACAAAGGAAAAAAAATAATCACATCATCATTTTTTCCCTTTGATAAAATTACAAAATATAAAATGATAAACTGAAAGTATTAATTGATTAGGGAAACAAAAGTCACAGTGGACTATTTACAGTAAAACACCCTTACAACAAATTGCTGTTTTGTGCTCCATGTGGATTGAGTGAGTGTGCCTATGTAAGAGGATCCCCACCTGTCCATTCTCCAGACTGTCCATGCCCAGGAGGAGCTCCCTGGATGAGCTGCTGGGGAGCCCAGCACCTTTCACTGCTGTGTCCTTGGGCCACCCTCAGCACATCCTTCCAGGAAAGCTTTCCACTAATGACACTGCTTCAAGGAGGAAGCCTTCAGCAATCCACATCAACCCTCTGTTGGCCACAAGTGCTCTGGATTTATAACAGCTGCCTGAGAACAAATTTTGGTGCACAGAAGATAAAGGGCTGGCTGAAAGCTGTCTACTTACATTAGTTTGTCTCAACTATTTCTCCTTTCAGGAGAGGCCTCTGACCTTTGCAGAAGACTGCCCTTGTACCTTTTCCCTGTCTTGTCAGAAATGCCACAGAGCAGTACAGTTCCCCTTCAAAGGCCTTTTCCTACCATATTAATTTCTGCTTATTTTCCTGCAGCTCAGACAAGATGCCAGCTTAAACTGAGTCTGATTTGTGGAAGAAAATAGGAGCCATGTTCATGAGAAGCAAGTCCCATCACTCCCCAGCCAATACAGCAGCCTTCCCAAAATGAGGTTTTCAAATGAGCTTTGAGCTCTTGTTTTTTTTTTGAAAACAGACCTTCTGTTTGAAAACCTCCCTTTAGGAAGGGAGAATCCTGTCTGGTTTTGCTATTCCCTTTTTTCACCTCCAGCCCTCAAGCCACATCACCCAACCTCGGGGGCAGAACTGCCTCCCTGCACCTTGGAAGCCCATGTAAACCTGTGGCAGACTCCACTCACGACAACTGACCACACTGAGGGGTCCAGAACCCAGGCCTGTCAGCATGTCTGAGGCTTGGCTTGTAAGTGCACAAGGAGCAAAACTAAACCTTGTGTCCAGCAGTACCTGCAGTGGTACTGTTCTCATTGCAGACAAGTCCAGCGCCTCTAACACAATGTTTTCCCCCTCAGTGAACAAAAAAGAAACAAAAAACAACCACAAAACAAAGGTTTTGAAATACTATACACAATGTGTGGTGGAAGCACTACACACTTAGAAAGAGCAGCCTTTTCTGGGTCATCTTCAGAGCACACAGACATTCTCATCTTAATTCAGGACCTCACTTCCCCCAGTCCCCACTGTTGAGTCTGAGCCATGAAGCCAAGCACAGCACCCCACTGTGTCATCTCCTCTGGCCTGGGGACGATCTGCCCAGCTACAAGGCAGCATTGGCCAAGTCTTGCTTCCTGATCACAGCACAGTTTTCCAAACCCAGATTTACCATCAGCTGCTTTCCAGGCCCACAGAAATGCCTGCCTGCTTGCCAGAAAAGCCAGTTGGGGTCTTCCACGGTCTGATTCCAAATTCTGAAGAAACAGATGCTCTTTCTCACCCTTCCAAGTTACCCCAGTTGGCAGCAAAGAAAACAACTCGGGAAAGACACAGAAGATGCAGTCTGGTGACTCAGGAAGGCTCCCGAAGACTCTTGGTGCCCAAAGAATTCTGCTTCTGTCACCACCTCCTCTGCAGAGTAGGCTCAGAAGGACCTGCCTCGGAGAGGCATTGCAAGGACTGGCTGTGGAACGTTTTGAACAAGAGGTGTGACAGAGCCACTCAGTCCCTGGTAGCATAAACTAAACAGCTTGTGCTTTCTCATGCTGCCACTGAGAAGGATCCGCTCCTCTTCCAGTGAATACCTATTTTTGTTTGGCTCTTAGTGAGACAGCCACCCCTCAGAGCCCTTTGGCAATACGATCATGATTGCACATGAAAACAAACTCATAAAAAAAGTGTAAATGAGGTTATGTTTAACCCATGAGACCACACCTGCCCCCCTCCCCCCTGCCAGAGGACAGGCTACACCTGATCTGTTTGGTACTCGGAAGCTTCTGATAAGCTTTCGGAAAAGCTCAGAAAGTTTTCCTGGTATTCAGAGCAAATGATCTCAAATCTGTAATGCCTGAACTCCACTGCAAAGGTGCCGAAGTAGCACAGGAAGCACATCACCAGGCCCCACTGGATCCTGGAAGCGTGCATGTGAATGCCCTGCGCCATGAGGATGAAATCTGGAAGAGGAAGGGTCAAGGAGAAGTAGTGAGAGCAGAGACACCGACCGGTATGAGAGAAAGCCAACAGGGAAGACAATCTTAAACAATCAAAGTCACACAGATGACAGTCAACCCATCCAGCCATCATGAGGAGAGTGTGAACGGGATGCCAGAGAAGAAAGGGATGTCAGGTGTCCAATGATGCCCATGGAGCACAGCAGCTCTCCTATACCAGGGCTTCCTGATCCCAGATCAGGCTGATAAACATTTTGAGAGGGAAAGATTTAGGTGCAGAGAAGTAAGTGCCTTGTTCAAGCATCCAACTAGCCAGGGACAGAGCCAGCAAGCTGGAGATCTGGCTGTGGGCCTCTACCTGCCAGGAGCCTCCCAGTGGGAACTGGATCAGAACTCTGAACCACAGGCAGTGGGAACACCTTTTAATCTACACTATGAAATCTTTCATTCTCTTTAGATCACCTGCAAAATCATCCCTTCATTTGAAAACTGGAAGCATCACTCTACACAGTATGGCATGTTATACTGAGAGGAAAAAGAACACTGTTGGGGCCAGAAACTGTCCTCCAGGCTCATGTGCCCATGTGCTTGGACTGCATATTGCCTGGCATCAGGGTCTCACTGCTGTACCTTGGATTGTGTTGCAGCACTCCACAAAAGCAATTCTGAGCTTCCCTAAAGCAGAGAACACCTTCCTGAGCTGAGGACCTACTCTAGCCCAATGCACATCTCCTCTAAACCTACTGTCTCCCATGTCTGTCAGGATTTCCTCTGCACTCCAAGTGTGCAGGATCACACATCTTCACAGGTAAAACAAACAAACAAACAAGCAGCGTCTCCCATGCTTTAACTGCACAACAGCAGGTAATTGAAGACTTTTCATCTTGGGCTTAGTGTAAGCAATGAAAGCTTCACTTCAGCAAACAGCATTTTGTCTCTGGCTTTAAGGATCTTCTACTTTTCCTGTAGTGCAAGGGTTATGCACAAACTGCATGGAACAGGGAGCCAGCCCCTGGCCATTGCAAAGCTGGCAGGAGGGTGCGGAACAGGACTCCTGCCTCGGCCTGCCCCCCTTCACAGAAGGCCTTCAGTGCCTCAGTGCTGAGCAGCCAGCTGGGAAGGGCTGGGAAGAGCTGTAGAGGGCTGGGCACACCCAGCGTGTCAGTACAGGAGCAGCTATGCCCTGGCTCACCTGGCTGCTCCTGCTCCCGGCTTAGCGGAAACCTCTGGAGACGTCAGCGCAGCCAGAGCTCCCCGCGTGCAGCCCTACCCCAGACACACAGTCAGGAGATATTGGCTTGAGGCAAGGGGAGGAGGGGAGCACCACAAGAACCCTGCATCTGCCACGTTATGTACACCAAAGCCTGATGCTCAGCTACAAATTTTTTCAAGGAAGCTCAAGAGGTGACTGATGTCACATCTTCATGTCAATCTGCTGTTCCTCTGGACACTGGCTGAAACGTTCAAACCCAGACAGGTCAATAAGGAATTGTTTTAAGAACAGGCTGTTTCCCAAAAAGGAGGATAAGCTTATTCCTCAGCATTTATTCCTGCCCTCTTGTTTAACCCAGCACTAATGTTGATGCAACTATCCATTGAATGGATCCACCCCAAATAAACACCCAGAGCACGTCAGTGCTGGTGTGAACAGAAGGGCTGGAGTGGGGCTGACAGGCACAAGGTGTAGAGGAAGCCACACATACATCCAGTCTGAGTGACCACAGACCCCACAGCCCAAATCCCATTTGTAAAGCACTTAGTTTTAACCTGAAGCCCATGTCACCCAGCAGCTCTTGACTGTGATAGCTGTCTTAAAAGGTAGAGCTGGATATAGCACTCTGGAGCATTTCAACAAACACGTCAAAATCTTTTCATCATCAGAAACCCAATTTCTTTCGCTGTTCCTTTGTTCTCCTGGGAATTTTTATCTCAATATTTTTCATAGTCTTAAATGCTACTGTGTAGGTAAGAGTGGTGCCATTAAATCGCACAGATACTATTCAATATTGTAACCACTTTGAATATCACTAACTAAGAAGCTTCAGAAACATTTATGAAGGAACTGAGCCCACCTGTGAAGCAGTGCATCCTGGTAAAACACAAGTAGCAAAATGAGCCAATCATAGAGCAGTGCCATGAAGACAAACTGAGTAGCATTCCTAAATTGTTTGAGATGCTAGGGCAGATGTGGGAAGAGCCAATGTTCCCTGCTGCAGAAAGCATTGGACACATACGATACCTGGATTCCCAGGGAGCCAGACAAAAGGATACAGAGCACCACACAGAGGGTGATGCTGGCTGAGAGAGCAACTCGTGGAATCCCGGCTTTCCGCCCCTCATTCTTCAGGTTGATCTTGAGGGTAAGGGCAGACTGGATCCAGCATGCCAAGGTTCCAAAGCCAAAGGTCAGCGATGTGCCCACGTTGTGGATCTCCTCATCGTTGGAAAGCTAAGAACAAACAAAACGGTGATTGTTTGAACACCACAGGAATTATTGGATAGCTAATTGGATTGCTGCTGAGGTGGGATGGGGGAGAGTGAGAATCACTGAGGTGTGAGGCAGAGATGCTGTATCATTTCTTCTGGCAGAGGTGTAAGGTGTAACATAACCAAGATGAGCTGACAGCTGTCACAGTTGAGCAGATCACCTGCCCAAAGCTCAAGCACAGTGGAAAATGCAGTTGCTTGAGGACTGCCTCCACAGCTCCCTGACAAGACTCACAGATGCAGAGCTCCGAAATAAATCCTTCCCTGGCTCAAAGCAATGGTCGGGGCAGGCAAGGACAACCCCCTGGGTCTTGTACAGCTCCTTGCAATGGATGCAAATTGTGCAGTCTTCAGTGCCAGCTGCAGGGAGCAGTGCTGCCTGGGGCAGTGGGTAGCCAGAGCCCTGACACCTCCACTGAGCTAGCACAGCCCAAAACACAAGTACATGCTCCTGGTTTGGCAAATTTCTCCAACCAAACTCCCTGTCCTGCCCATCCTTGACCATTGGAGTCTGAGGCAAATGAACCCAATCTCTCCGAAGTGCAAGTGCTTCTCTGTTCCTTGGGCTGCCATGTCTCACAGGGCACAGTGACTGTGCAATACTGCAAGGCTAAAAGGCAGCCAGGTTCAATAAGCAAGAGTCTGCAAAGAGACCCCTTGAGGCTGCAAATCCATTCGCCAAGTCCAATATTAAGCCAAACAATTTCCCTTTCCCCTCTGCCTCTGAGGCTTTTTCAGAAAAAGAAACCATCAGTCTGTAATTTCTTTCTGCAGCCTCAATTCCTGTTTGGTGATTTTACAAATCCCTATCAAATAAGACACAATCTTCAGGATACAAATCCCTATCAAATAAGACACAATCTTCAGGATAACAATCTTGGTGCTGTGCCTCCATTGATCCTCTCCTCTCTGTCCTGAGTTTTTTCTAAGGGTAGGTCCAAATCATACTACAGGCAAAAATAACATTGAGCTGCCTTTCCCAGGGTAGCCTGCACTGCAAAGGACTCACAGTTATAATGTTCCTCTAAAACAACCAATCTGTAATTTTCCAGAAATATGATTTAATGCCACATCCGTCTTAGCAGTCAGCTTAGCACGGACTAAGTTCTCATTACCACATGCTTTCATGTCTGGCAAAAGATCTAAGCAAGGATACAGATGACTAACACAGAGTGGATAATTAGTTCAGAATTTATAACCTTTTATGGACCTGGTCCATAAAAGTCCATAAAAGTCAAATTATCTCACACCTCATTCATAAGGAAAAAAGAAGTCAACTGTAAAAGACACAAAGTTCCTGCAATTACTCTATAACCCAAGGGGGTACTCACCCTTTAGAAAACAAGTACCTTTTCATATTGGCTCCCTGTCTGCAAAGCGAGGAAAGTAGCCTACACTGACCTTTCTCAGTTCCTGCCATTATTGGGGGTCATTACTTGCACCCCAGTGAGAGGGAGAGCATCAGAGTCAGCAAAGGGACGGGGAAACCCAAGTGCTGCTGATTTGAACGCTTTGATTTTCTCTGCAGACCTAACAGACACACCCGTGAACGGTGAACGCAGCAGACATCCATCCCTACAGATATGGCAGATGTTTGTTTGTATAATGTTGCAAAGATCGAGAATGGGAGGGCCCTCGTCCAGGCACCCATCATATTACAAATCACAGCGCTCCTCTGCCGTGTCCCTCTCCTGGCAGGTCTAAGAATCAGCAGGAGGCAGATTTAAAGCAACATATATTCTAAACGAAGGACACTGAACTGTCTGCTAAATCTGTATGGGCAGCTGTGCATCTGTTCACACAGATGCGTACGTAAACTTCCCGCTCCATCCTTTTAGCCAGGACCATCTGTGCCAACTCCCAGAGCTCAAAAGATTCAAGAGGTTCCTGCTATGGCTCTGGACAGGTCAAGTGTAAGCACGCAGGTGAAAATCCTGCTGGAAATACAAGAAAAATTATTGCGGCCCTTCATCTCAGCATGTCACTGGAGCCGCGTGAGTGGCAGACAGAGGTGGCAGAGCAGGTACAAAGAGGGCTGGGGCACAGCCAGACATGTTATCTCCTGAGCTCACATCACAGGTAGTTCAAAGACCTAAACAGGTCTGCTGGAAAAGCAGGAAACTCACATCACAGACAGAGCGGTCCAAGCCTGCAGTGCAGTACCTGAAAGTTGCCGAGTAGGGTCATCCCAAAAGAGGCCAAGCACAATGCCACCAAGCCGCTGACGTTCAGCCAAGGGTTTAGCACCTTTGGCTTCAGCTGAATGAAGCGCAGGACAGCCACAACAAGCGCTGAGAAGGAAACAGAATGCAAGGTGTGTCATTAGGTAGAACCTGCTGCAGTAAACAGCTGGCTGGGGGCTCACAGATCCCTCCCCATCTCTGTACCCAGAGGGGAGAGTTCACTGCAGGCCAACTATCTTAGTGCTTCTGCATGGCCCCCTCCCGCTTAGGGACAAGACTAAAACCAGGGGGCATTTCTCTTGTAGTCTGGCTACACTGAGCTCCAGGCTTCCTGTTGTCATGATGTTTTGTCTAGGAGCTGGGTTGCAAATTTTCTGGGGGAAAGAACACTTTCCTGTTTGCCTGTGAAGCTCTCAGCACATAGTCTACCACATAGACACCATGCATTCATTTTGTGGCAGCTGGGCTTCCACTGTTTCACTCCACTGTCGAGCTCTCCTGGGGGAGGTATGTCAAACCCCACTTGTATTAAAAACGTATGAATGGCACACACATATTTCTGCAGGTTTTACCATAATGCCCACTGCCTCCTCTCCTCCTTTGGAACAAGTTTTGTTGCCACGAACATAAGCCAAAATACCGCACTAATTTTCCATGAAGAACAGAGCAACAGTCCTTCCAAGGTTACAATTACCCCAAGTGCTATATGATACCTGATAGATACGATACATGATATATCATATGATATTACATAACCCCAGAAGATATTAAAATTGTATATTCTTCCCCTCCATAGGGAATGCTGCATGGAATAACACAGAAAGCCAGGCAAACAGTTGGCCTTCAGAGGGGATTAAAACCAGACCACTAAAAAGCTATTTAGTTAAACAGGCGAATTTCCTGGTTGCTGTCAAACACCTTCTCATGCTCATGCTCAAATTGATAGCACGCAGGTCATATTGTTGTAAATCGTTTGCCTTAGCAAATTAGATCTGTATTTTCCACAAAACCCCTGGTATAATACCAAAAACATGGTTTAGGAAAATAAGAGCACTGTAAGTAAAAAATACCCACTTTCGTGCAAACTGCAAATGACATTTCAGTTTACTCTCTTACAATTTTCCCTAGTAAATCAATCCACTCCAAATCCTTGAAAACAAGAGAACTCTGTTCCCCTAAAAATGGGGATTTCTTTTTTTCATCCCCAGCTAATTGTCTGGGACAGCCACCCTGTGACTACTTGAGCTCACATGCAGGAACTTTTTCATTTCTATTCTACAGTACAGAATCCTGAAATTATGTGATCTTTTTCTAAAACTCAGTGGGAATTACAAAAGGGATTTTGCCATTTTTTGCACAAAATGCTTTATTCTCAATTTCAGTAATTCCTACATTTCTAGTAGGTTTCTGCAGTTTTTCTCTCCTATAGCTTTGACATAACTAAAGTGGCCAGAGGTACAAGCTAAAAGCAGCTCTCAGAAGCACACAAATACAGCAGAGGAAAGTCTGACTTTATCCACAAAGCAGAGATTAGAACAGAAGAGACTATTTCTGTCGTAAGGGATCCACAACAATCACCTCATCCTACTGATGACAAATTCAGGGCTGACCAAAAGTTAAAGCATATTATTAAAGGGCACTCTCCAGATGCTTCTTAAACAATGACAGGCTTGAGGCATTGACCGCTTCACTAGGAATCTTGTTCCAGTGTTTGATTACTCTCTCAGTAGAGAAATGTTCAGTCTAAACTCCCTCTGATGCATCTTTGAATCATTCCATTGTGCCCTGTCACTGGATCCCAGGGAGAAGAGATCACCACCTTCCTCTCTCTGTCCCCTCCTCAGGAAGCTTGAGAGAGCAAAGAGGTTGCCCCTCAGCCTCTTTGTCTCCAAACTAGACAAACCCAAAGTTCCTCATAGGACATTCCTTCCAGCCTGTCCACCAGCTTTGTTACCCTCCTCTGGGCACATTCAAGGACCTTCACAGCCTTCTTAAGTTGCTGGGCCCAGAACTGCACACGGTATTTAAGGTGAGGCTGCACCAATGCTGAAGACAGTGGGATAATCACCTCTTTTGAGGGGCTGATTGTGCTGTGTTTGATGCACCCCGGGATGGGGTTTGCCCTTTTGGCTACTGGGGCACACACTTCTGACTCACACTGAGCTGCTGTCGACCAGCACCCTCAGATCCCTTTCTGAAGGGCTGCTCTCCAGCCACTCCTCTCCCTATTTATATTTGAGCCCAGAGTGACTCCAACCTAGGTGCAGGATGGAGATTTGGACTTGTTAAATTTCATCCCACTAATCATTGCCCATTGTTCCAGTCATCTAGAACTCTCTGAAAGGCATCTTGTTCCTCAAGAGAGTCAACAGGACATCCTCATTTGGTATCATCAGCAAACTTGCTAATGGTGCCTTCACCTCCTGCATCCAGATCGTTGATAAAAATATTGAACAGAACTGGCCCTAGTGATTGCATTATTCTTTAAACATGTCCAGAAGATCTCCATAATTTTTCCAGGAACTGAGGTTAGACTAACAGGTTTGTAGTTCCTCAGGTCTTCCCTCATGCCCTTCTTGTAGACTGGAATAACACTGGCTGGCTTTCAGTTGGCAGAGATCTCCCCAGACTCCCAAGACCTTTGGTAGATGACTGAGAGGGGCCCTGCCAAAACATCCACTAGCTCCTTCAGGACTCCAGGATGAATCCCATCAGGACCAAGGAACTTGTGAGCATTCAGCTGATACAGCTGGTCCCTTACAATTCCAGTACCTACAAATGGAAAATTACTGCTCCTGCACTTCTGGTCCTCTGACTCAAGGGACTGGGCAGCTCAAGGTCCATCAGCATTACTAAAGACTGAGACCAAAAAAAAAAAAAAGGCATTGAATGCCTCCACTTCTTCTTCATCCCTATTAGTCAGGTTACAAGCCTTCAACAAGTATCCATCCGATATTTTCTTTAGATCTCCTTTTGCCACTGACATATTTACAAACACCCTTCTTGTTGTCTGAAACTAGTCTGGCCCGTTTCAAATCTAACTGAGCTTTCCCATCTTCTCCCTGCACATACAACCCACAGCCCTGCAATCTTCCTGTGAAGCCTGACCTTCCTTCCACAGATCACACACTGGCTTTTTTCTCTTGAGTGCCGCAAGGAGTGCCCTGCTCAGCCAAGCTGTTTTTCTGCCCCACTTCTTGACCACAGTCCCATACAGTGGGATTGCCTGGCCTTGTACTTCTAAAAGGTGGTTCTTAAAGACTGACCAGCAACTGTGGAGCCCTAAGACCTCAAAAGCATATTCCCAGGGTATTTAGGGGGACCACTCTGTTGTCCTTTTTTCTCATTACAGCAAAAATTCTAAACCATTCCATGATCACCATGCCCAAGGCAGTCACCTACCGTCTCATCTCCCACGACACATTTGCAGTCTGGAGGTTATATTTCCCTCGTTATATTTCTTTTTTGCCATGGGAAGAAGCGGCAATGAAAGTGCACAGTTTAAAAGATTTCACGTCATCACATTCCAGAACAGTATGTATGGGATATTACTTATGTTTCAGTGACTCTTAAACCGAGAAAGAAACATTCCACTGGTGGTTCCTACCTAGAAATGCCGCCATGTTCATGACTTGACTAAACACACAGCTTGCAGGAGGTGCATCACCTGCAATACTTGAAAATATAAAGTGTGTCATTGTAACTCTAGGATGGTAAAGACACATAAATAACAACCATTATCAGAACGGTAACTGGAAGAAAATAATTCACTTACCTTATATAAGGTGGTCTTTTGGGACCAGGTTTCCTAAGAGACATAGGCATAGGAATAAAGATTCAAGGTTTTCTTTTCCATTTAATTGTTTTATTATTTTAAAGAAACAAGTGATTGAACATAAAGCCACAACCAGTTCTTACCTGTCTGGTACATTTAGTGGGAGAATTTTGTTATCTTCCACTGCTATAAAGTACCTGTCAAAAAGAAAGAAAAAAAAAAGACGTAAGTAGTGTAAAACCTCATCCTGGCTTTCATTCCAAATATCACCCAAACAACACATTAAGTATCTCAAAGCTCCCTGGCAGGATCTGCTGGAGGCAGCCTGTGTTTCTCTCTGCTCAAGCAGGCAGTTTTGCTTATTTCCCTGCCTAGCTATGTGCCTTCCTTTGTGTTGCATCTGGTTTGCAGGTCAGGTAGACAAAGAGGGTCACTGAACTGAGCTGCCTTAAAAATAACCAGTCAAGGCAATGTTTTCATTTTTAATTTGAATAATTTGATTCATCAGGTTTACCATGGTCTTCCTTCCACAAAAGCTGTTTTAATACAGAGGGGATGGGACAAGAAGAACAACAAGCAATAGAGGTCAGACAAAAGGCTTAAGCTGCCCCTGCTGCTGAAAAACAACATCCACAGACCATGGCCAAAGCCACATCTTACAACATAAATGCTTCTCACGCTGAGCATAGCTGCTAATCACACATTTATTGCTCTCAAATTCATGCTGCAGTCATCTGCCTGCATGCTTGGAGAGAGTCCAGCTCAGGGAAATGCATGTCTTGTGTGCATTTTGGTAAGGAGCATTAGGGAGAAAGTGAGGTGTCAGCATTAAGCTGCTGGCAGGTTCAGTGCAGTGCTGGATGCTGCAGATTTCGAGTTTCCACCCCAAAGCAGGGCCTAAGTGTTTCTCCAAGAGGTCTGCTGAGTCATTCAAAGAAAACATGTTTAAAGGGAATATTTGCATTTTTGTCTATCCCATTTCAGGCAGCTCCCAGGAACATGTGCCAGGAAGAAGACAAGGTCAGAAGCTTGGCCTGGAGAGCATAGAAACCCAGAGATAAAAATGTGATCCTCCAAGCCATGAACTGGCAGAGACTGGCCCCCGCCCCTGTCGTGTGCCTTCCCAGCCCCACAGTAACTCCAGGACACAGCATCCCCAAAAGACTCTCTGTACTGAGACGCAGCCCACACCTCAGTGGTACTTCTGACTGCCCCAGCCTGACTTGCTCTCCCAAATAACCATCAGGAGAAAACTTACACTATCCATAATCCAGCTGATGTAAACAGGGTAAAGACAAGAGGTAAAAACATCCACACGCTGCATTTCTTCCCATCCATACCTGCTGGAAACAAAGAACAACGTAAAAACGAAAGAAAGGAGAGGGCAGAGGTACCCACCCACCTTGGCCCCCCTCGTTTGAAAGCACAAAGAGCATCCACACAGAAGGTGACAAAGCATCAAGTTCCTAATGGCCACTGCAAACCTTTCACACTGTCACTACCGGCATAAGGGGTTAAGCTGCTGCACACAGGCAGCATCATCCACAGGGTGCATAAAAACCAGGGCACAAACAGCCTGGGGCTGTGGAGCAGGAGACTTTTCAGACACACCTACAGAATCTGAGTGGGTTTTCAAAGTATTTTTCCTGAGCATTTTGCACAAGGTGACACCACAAGACCCGCAGCCCTAATTCCCTACTACTTCCCACCGGCACAAGGCAAAGTAGGCTCCTACCCAGGATCATTACCAATTCCACACGCTGCCCCAGCAAAGCCTGCAGCACGAGGAGAGAAGGATGCACGTGCTGTGTCATAACCTCACAAAGCACACGACCGGCTCCCATCCCGGCCACAGCAATCAGCCAAAAATAATGTTTGGCCACACCCAGAGTGGAGCCAAGCTGATTGCCGGCACCCAGAGTGCTCTCAGGAGTCAGGATGAGGCGTTACAACTGGATGCAGGCACTGTGAAATCCTGCCTGTGGCGTAAGGATGCTGCGTACACCACCTCCCGAGGAAGCATCTGTCCTCCAGGCAAGATCACACTGGGTGAGCATCTGGAATGCCAGGGCTGTTCCTGTAATATGTGCCATTCAGAAATGCTGCTGCGTTGCTGTGCTGCAGACGCAGAGAGTCCTGTCTCCCTGTGAATCCTCTGACAACGGATCAAATATTTCCTTACGCTCTGTCCTCCCCCATACATGTCCCTCCCAGCACTGGCACAGCCAAGAGACACAGAGAGTGAACAGCATGAGGCTCACGGCTCCAGCACCTGCTTTACTTTCCCCAGAGCAGCAGTACCTGTGCCCCTGCACTCTGCTTCCCTCCCATAGCCTGCTGCAGGGCAGGCATTTCCTGGGGTCACCAAGGCCCACACGGACAGCAAGGCACCCTGGGGTGCCAGGGCAGCTTGGAGATGATGGCCTTTCACTAAAGCCTGCTTGTATTTGCAGCTTAATTACCTCATCCAGGTAAAAGGTCCTTAAAGCAATGACTCTCCCCTTTGCCCCAGAGAAGAAACTGCCCACGCTGTTGTCTTCCTCCTCTCAGCTGCCCTGGCCTTCCTATATCTGCAGCACAGGAGCCATGGTCTTTCTGGGCTGCTGCCTTGCTCTCTTGCCACTGTGAAGACCCACAGAAGAGAGTAAGCACCCCCACCATGCCACAGCAGCCCCCAGCTCACTGCTCCCCCAAGGCAGCCCCCACCTGCAAAGGCAATACTGGCTTGACTGCTCAGGGCCCCAGACACCAACTCCCTCTCTGCCTTATAGTGACAGAGGCTGAAGGAATAGAGATGAGGCTCCCCACACTCTTTAGAAGGCATGGCAGCCTCACACTTGCCTCTATAGGTCAGTTGTCTTGTTCTCCCTGCAAATTGCCTAACAGGTGTACAAAACAACACCCTGGCAGTACCCTGAGTCACACCACGCTTGCACAAAACCATGAGGCCGTGATTTGGTGCTGCCTGTATGGATAGCCTCGAGTGAGGCTGAATTCCAAACCTCAAAACACAGAACAGCAATCAGATAAGGTCTCTTCCCTGACCTGGGAGCAGAGAGAACTGCAGACAGGGACCACGAAATGATGCCGATTTAAAAGGCAGTCAGCTCCGTGCTTACAGATCTTTAGCACGGTCTAACAGATCAGAAGAAATTATCGATGAGGAGAGACTAAATTTCCACACCAATCTCACCTCTTTTCCTCTCCTCTCGCACAGGAGACACACAGTGTTTCACAGCTCTGTTCCCGGCACAGCCCCCACCGCAGCGCTTCCAACTATTCCATGAAGTGCTGCCCTTGCCTTTTCCTCCCACTGCTCACCAGCAATGCAGCAGCATCCCTTACCTGGTGTTAGACATTACTCTGGTACTGGGAGACCCGTGCCAGCCATGTCAAAGACCACTTCCAGGTGGCACCTGCCTCACCTGTGCCCCTGATGGACCCTGGCAGCACAGTGCCTAAGTGCCAGTGCCCCACACAAGAGAGGCATAACTGTATCCAAGTTCCCCACTCCTGCCTTGGCTGAAGGAAGAAGGCAGGTAACATCACCTCCAGGTAACTACTGCCATTGATTCTCCTCTTCTCTCTGATGGTGGCTGGACTAAGCCAAGGTAACACAAATCTTTCAGGTCAGGGGATGGCATATCTTATTGTTTACCCTTCCCCTTTGGAAAGGTACAAAAGATTCATTTACGCAATAAAAGCAAATAGCAGCCATAACACCTGGCTCCATTAATGGGTTGCCACAGCTCCTCCACCTTCCAGCATGCCTCCCAGCCAAAAAACAGCAGCCTTCACAAGCTATTTCAGCACTGTCTGTCATGCAGAGAGGGAGGTGGCACAGGACTTTTCCCTCAGGTGGAGCAGCGAGGCAGCACATAGGGACAAAGACTCCACACCAGAATGAAGTGGGGAAATATGAAAATACTGTCCAGATAACCATTACTCTGTGCTGAGCTCTAAAATGGAGCAAGGCCAGGACTAGTGCCCAACCTCATCAAAGTCAGGATACAGATTCACTCCCTTGGAAAACAGCCCTGTGTTTAATATTCACTGTGCCACACAGAGTCCCCTTCCATCAACCACTAACAGAAAATGACATCTGAAATCATTGCATATTAAATGAATGATCAGTGCAGAGCACAGTGTCCTGATGGGAAGCGAGGTCCATAGTTCAGAGGAACACATTCATTTCAGCCAGTTAAAAGGAACCACCCAGAGAAACAGCCCCCCAGCACACACCTCATCACAGCTGGTTGGTTTGCACTGAGGAGAGAGGACAGCACTCCCAGGGAGAACAAGGACCTGTGTAGAGCCAGGTCTTCACCAGAGCTCAGTGAACACCTCTCAGTGCTGGCCATTGGCACAGCCCAAACATGCTTGAATATGTTTTAGCATCCCCATGTTGGCAGAGGATGGTTTAAAACCAGGGTTCAGCTCCTGCAAATTTCTCATTTACTCCCTGCTGTGTTACTCAGGTGCCAGAACAAGATCACATGTAACCTCAACTTCCTCCAAAGGAGAAACCATGGCATGTGCCAAACCTGCCCAGCTTTGCATTAGTGTTCAGCAGATATCACTCTCAGCAGTTGCCTTTGAGTTAACCTGTCCTTTTCAGGGATGTCCCCAGTGTTTGTGTCTTCCAGCCGGGAGACCTCCATGCAGACTAAGGCCAGTACCTCTAACAGCAGCCAGGTACAAGAGAATGAGGAAGCCAAGCATCAGCCTCCTCTGCAACACCACAGCAAATGGTTTAGCCAAAGTAAAATGCCAAGAGCAATAGGAAAAATAGCCTAAATTCTTTGTGGGAAATGTAGAAACAAATTCTTTGACAGTTAATTGCTCCACGGGGATGACATAAAGCCAACCTTCCTCTCCACAGCTCTGTTCTGCATTGTTGACACGACCAGTGATGCCAAATCTGAGCAGTCAACTCCAGCTGGCAATAACAGCCATCTCTGCCAGCCCGTGTTTTCCCAAATAAACACACTGTGACCAAGAGGCAGTTGGTAATTGCCCACACCCATTTGTCTTCCATTTTTAAGGCTTGCACAGGAAGGCCTTCAGCAACAGAAATCCCTCATGCTGTAATGGATTCACAAGACTAATAAAAATGTTTTCAACTTCACAGCTGACCCCAGCCAGAATCAGCCCACCTCCTCAAAAGCTCACACTGTGGTTTTCCAGTCCCTCTTGACACATGCTGTCACAACAGCATTGCAAAAACCCTGTCAAGGTGCACTCCTGATGCCAGCTAATATGGATCAGAGTCCAGAACTGCAAAGGGTTTCACATTAGCACGGCCCCGGTGTTTGTCTTGAGAATTTCTCTTAATGTAGGCTTACTCCCTTATCTCCAATTTCATTTTTATGTCTAAATCTGCTCAGACTGTCAGCTGTTTGCTCTGCTTATATTACCACTGCCCCACTACGCACCCTCAACCAATTAAGCTTCCATTCCTCTAATGTACACACTTCAATTACAGCAGGCAGCTCACCAAACATATACTGCTGCTTGATCAAGGTTCATTTAATGTGGACATCTTAATTTCATCTGCCAAGCAAAGTTACAGGCTCTTCCTGAAGCTGCTTTCACCAGAGAACACGAATATAAGGACAAAATTACCATATTAACATACATCTTTTTTAAGACTAAAGCATCCAGATGCATTTCAAATGCATAATAAGCCAGCGCAACTCTCCTGCATTTCATAGCACAAGGCCACCGAGTTATTTCAGAGAATAGATACGAAGCCAGAAGCACTGGGAGAAGGAGGACACTGTTCAAAACATAGAGCAACTCATAAAGAATTGCTGCCAGTCAGGAACAATCAAAGGGGAACAAACACAGTTTGTCTTTTGGGGGAGCCCACTATAGCTCTCTGTTGCTTTTGAAAGCAAAAATAACCACAGTCACTTGATACCTAATCACTGTAAGTGAGTGGATACAAACCAGCACATTACATAACCTGCCACCCACAAGTCACAAATGCCAACATAACAAAGCAGAGCATTTTCAGGTTTATCTCAAGGTTCGAAGCGTGAGCACACAATGAGAGAGATAAGACGTGACAGAGTCTTGTAAATACATAACAAAATGGTGGGGTAACAGGAAAAGAAGTGATCCCCTCTGTCAGCAGGGTATGACGTTCTGCTTGCTCCGGGTACCCGCCTACTGTCTCACGGATGTGCAGAAGTGCCATTTTCATTTATTCATATGAGAGGAATGGGAAAAGGTAAAGACATCTCTGGGTTGTGCACGGGGGAAGCAGGAGATGCTTCAGTAACCCTGCAACGATGTTGAGAGGCAATGCTTTCACCCACGGCAACATCCGTGCATGTTTCTTGTCTCGTCTCACACACTGAATGCACTCAGCGTGCTAATGAAATGCCCTGGCCAACATAAACCTATCGGACATAGGAAATGGAACCTTCTAGCCACCAAAAAGCAGGGGGCAGAAAAGGACATATTATTATCCACTTGCCCACATCGCCCCTCCAGGTTTCCCCCAGGTAGCTGTCCTCCTGCAGTTGCGTACAGTTAATTTGTTATCAATTCTCTAAATACATATATACTTACATACAGATATATATATATATATATATATCCTGAGTGCCTTGGTAATAAGACCATGCGACTGACAGATTGTCCGACCCAGAGATACTCCTGCAGCACTGCTGGGTCCCTACTGTCCTTCAAGAAGTGCCCTCAGTATTCTGCTTCCTGCTGCCACACATGAGTACTTACAGGCCATTTAGCAACCAGTGTTGAACTGCTGTGTTACAGGCAGAGACATCGACTGTGGACTCTTCTGGGCTGGCTCTGCCCTTCTCGCATCTGGCGTTGTACAGACCAGGCTCACCCCACTTCAAGGCCACGTTCCTGGATGCCATAAAAGAAAAATTAACGTAATTTGCCACTGTAGGACCAAAGGGTTCTGCAGGCTTTGACAGCTCTGTGCTCTGACCCATGCACCTACATCAGCCCACACTGACTTCCATGAGGTCCCACTCATCCCATGAGCAGGGCTTGGGCAGTCGTGGCCCTCAGCCTGCAAACAGGCCAAAGGAGGCAGAGGCAGGAGCTGGGTAAGGCAGAAGGTACACATCCAGTTCAGATGGAAAGAGCTGGGTCAGCAGACAGCCAGGAGCAGCCAGGGTGAGCTGAGGAGCATTACATTTTGCAGGTGCTGTGTGTCTGCTTGCCCCAGGGATCCCATTCTGCCTGGGAGCACCCACTGCAAGATTCAGCCATTCTGGCTCCTCGTGACCTCAGAGGCTGCACAAGTCAGGTGGCAACCAGTCCCCTGTGAGTGCTCCCAGCATGTGTTGGACTGCCCGCATCCCAGGGCAGATATTACTTACCACCTCTCCAAGGGCAGATATTTAGGAATACACACAGTGCCAGTAGCTCAGTGTGCAGCTGCAGTGTGAGCTGCAAGTTGTGCCCTGGGTGGGGGGAATGGCTGGAGCCCCAGGCAAGGGGCTGTGACCTGGCACCAACCCTTTGCCTGACAAAGGGCACAGGGACCTGTGGTGCTGGCCAGGGATGGCCGGTCAGCCAGAGACTCTGTAGGTTCCAAATAAACAGTGAGAAGACCCCAGACTAAATATCACAATTGGAACAGGCTCACAGATTGTGAGGATATAAAAGCACAGGGATTCCTTAGTTTGGGGTCTCTCCCCAGAGGCACCAATTCAAGCTGTTTCTGTCCAGCTATTACTGCAGAATGATTCAATTCTTTAAAGGATCCAGAGATCTGGGACTACGCTATGGGAAACTTGGGGTCCAGGCAGTGAGGAAAACCTTTCAGATTGCCTGAGTGTGGGGTGTGTAGGGAGTCAAGCGAGACACCCATTGGGTCACTGGAACTGCCCACTGTGAAGGGGCTTCGCTCCCAGCACTGAAAGTCTCAGGTGTGGGAGTGTGACTGCCAGAGTGGCTCCCGGATGGTCGGACAGGAAAGTTTCCCCAATACAGAGATGCTCAAGACTGGGCTGCTTTCACCAGACTTCTGAGACACAAAGGAACCAAACCCCACAGTCTCTCACCACTGCCACCACAAGGGCATATTTTTCCCTTGCCCAATCCTTTTGTTTGGGATGTTTATGACAACAGCACTTACCCCCAAGTCCCAGCCAAACCCAAAAGTGAAGAGTTGATGGAAAATGAGGAGGACTATTTATCTCCTCAAAAAATTAAAGACAGCAAAGCTCTCCCTGCTTCAGCTATGCAGTGAAGAAAGAGTCTCTGAAACTGTCTCACTGCACTGCAAGTAATATACAAATGCAGGCTGATGTTATGGCAAAGTCCACAAAGTCAGAGGCACTGTGCAGTCTGTCCAGTGATCATCCTCTACCTCAACCACCCCAATCTAATGACCATTGTCTGAACTAGCAAAAAGCACAATGTCCCCTAAAGTACAGACATCTTGTCAGTGTATTAATAGATTGATAGAGGTGTTTTATTTGCTCCCGAATTCCAAAAACCACAGACACCTTAAAGCGTTTCCAATCTGCCCAAGCAAGCAAAGCCAAGACACACATTATACTAGAAGGGGGTAGGAAGCCTGCCCAAAAGGTTTGTCCCATTATCAGGAAAAAAATGTAAGTGTTGGGAGTGGCAAGGAACACTCAACAGGGAGGTGAAACCTGGCAAAGAAAGAGAGATATGTCATGTTGACTTACAGATAGCTTCGAAGGTAAGGAAAGACACACTAAGCCAAGGGGAACAGCCTTTGCAGAATGTTATTCCTGATCATATTGTCTCCTTTTCCAGTTTACAGATGAGAGAGTACAGGCCCTGGAAGCCCAAAACAGTTCCAGGTTTCCCTGCCTTTCCTACCCTGCCACTGTTTTTTCCCCAACAAACACAAGACATACACTCAAGCTACACAGCTTCCCACAGAGTGTAAGGAGGGCTTTTCCCGCCTGTTTTCTTTGTCTTCCACCTCTCTTATCCCTTGTACTCTTCTTCTGTTCATCTTTTGGAAGCATAAGCTCCTTTCTCCACTGCAGTTTGCAGCTCTACGCTTCTGAAGAGATGTTCACTGTCCCCAAAGGAGCATTTCCTTCAGTAAATGCCAGTCGGTCTGCACTTGTCATGGGGAAAACACCAAGGCCTGTGAGCTTTTAGGGAGTGTGGTATAACACACCAAGCTTTCTCAGGACAGTTTTCCCTCACCAGCCTCTTCAGCCTGAGGACTCATGCCTCCTCCACAAAAAGAGGTCCTCTTCTCCTTGTATTAACCACCAAAGCCTCTGAGAGCAGCCATGAGATGATGGGCCGGAGGGTGAGCTACAAGGAATGGATGCGCAGTACCCATGACCTGGCTTTTGTCATTACTCTAAAGTAGCCCTCTCTGGCATAGAGATTGTCATGGGTACAAACCACCATGTCAGTCTTTTGACTCTGTTTAGACCTGTGGAAATCATTTGCCCTGAGACAAGTACAAGGTAAGCAATCATACACAGGCATTTTTGTGGTGTTCACCACTGCCTCCCCAGCATTCCTCATTTGTAGGAATTAGTAACATTTGCTTACCAGTGTCCCAAGCTGCTGCAACCATAAATTGCTGTTTGTAGGGTGCTCAGATGAGCTATAAGAGGAAGGTGCCATACAGCCTTTCACTTCATGCAAACCTGTTGCAAACACAACAGACAGAGAGGACCAGGGAACAGCTTCCACCTGCTAAACGGTGGCCAAGCCTGCAAGCCTGCATGACCAGCCTCTTCATTGCATCCAGAGGGCTTAAAACTTTTCATGTCTGTTGAAATATATTCAGAAACAGACTTTTCTGTAGCACAGGAGACCACAATAAACCTAAGAGCATTCAGCTGGGCCAAGACCGCACTGGGGAGGCTCTCCCTGACAAAGCTGTGGCCATCCTCAGTGGCTTGGCCAGGCAGAGGCCTCTCTTGCAGTCCTGTGGTGCCAAAACTGAAGGGCCACTGGCTCTTCTGCCTCAGGTAGTCACCACTGGTAATCCCAGCGGCTCCTCATGGAAAGCAGGAAATCAGACAGGTCTCTAATTACCTGGATCTGCCCGAGATTAGGAAATCGAGGGGAGGATGCTGGGCACTCCCCCCACCACTGCAGCAGACCAGCCCACATCATCCCTGCTTTTGCTTCCTTCCCTCTGCTACCCACGGGAGAGGCAGCCCAGACCTTTCCTAATGGCACCAGGGAGCACCTCAGCCTCCCCTCCCATGAGACCTGCTGAATATGCCACCAGTTCCACAGGGACAGGTGAGCACAGGTGAGCAGCTCCGGGTGCTGGGGAGGAGGCCTCTGCTCTTGTGTGCGGTGGGCAGGGTGGAGGGAAGGCTTCCCTCCTGTCCTGCACACAGGAGCAGCTCTCCCAGAGGGAGCCAGGTCTGCATGCCTGCCCACGGCAAACACTTCTCAGCTGAGCAAACAGCACTTGTAGAGGGAGACTGCTGCTCTGGTAGGCGCCTCTCACCTGCAGGCATGACCGTCCAGAGGTAACCTCAGCATAAAATATTTGCATTGTACCCCACGCAAGGTATAATAATCTATAGCCCTTTTAACGCTTCATTTCATGGTTTTTGAAGCTTCATCACTCTTCTTTTCCTCTCCTCCCATTCGCTCCATTTTTCTCTCCCCACCTGTCCACAACATGTTTTGCTTCCTTTTCACTCTCACCCTGCCTTCATCCCTGAACCTCAGGTGACTGCTTCTGCAACCTGCAGGGACCCAAGGCGAGGGGAGCCAGGCACCTAGAGACCTTTGCAAGTCTTCTTGAGACAGCAAAAACCCACCATTATTCCCACTTTAGACAACAGGGCCAGTGAGTTGCTCACTGAGAGAAACCAGTGACCCAGAGGAGCGTGCACTCACAGAGTCCTGGTCCAAGCCTTCTACTGCACCTGCCAGCCACCCCCTGTCCCAGTGTATCCTTTCCAACATATTGCTTAGGATCTTCTCTCTCGTTTCTTAGAGACTTTTCTCCATTTCTTTGCTTCCACTTAAGCTGCAATTATAGCTCATTGTTTCAGCTTGGACTGCAGGATCAGGACCCTAAAGTGTCTCTGTTGGGCCAAACCACAATCTTCCAATGTCAGGCTGCCCGGAAATGGCTGGGGGAGGAGAGGAAACCATGGACACGACATTTCTTCCAAGGAAAAACAATTGACTGTGTTAGTGTTCATATGAGCACACATCCCTGCTCTGCATCTGAAAAGCAAACACTGCAGCACAAAGAATCTTAAAAGGGGAAATGAAACAACTGCACTGACTTTTAGCACCCAGGCTCAGAAAATGCTGACCACTGAGCATGAAGAACAAGAAGAAAATAATTTGACTTTTAATAATCAAGTCCCCTTCTTTTAGACAGTGTCATCTATTTGAGCAAGACACAACAGGCAGTCAGCGTGCCAGGATATACCTTTCACACACTGCCCTCCTCCATATTGAGTTGCTATCCATAATTAACCATATATGTGTACATTGCTATGGCATAAGGATTGTGTGAATGTTCATCAGAACATCCTTAAGGCCACTTTCACAAGAAGCTCTGTTTAAAAAGGAAAAAAAAAAAAGGCAGAAGGGAAGGTTAACTCATAATTCCTGCAACCTTTCTAGCTCAAGGGCTCTGAATCAAAGGTCTGGCACAAGCATACTGCTGTAGGGAAAAGCTAAGATCCCAAGCAACCCCATCATCACCCTGGGACATCAGCACCCAGCATCTTTATATTGCTCAGAGGCAGGACCTCACCCTTCCTTCCCTGAGGGACCACAGTGGAGCCCAGTGGCCTTTCTCAAAACCTCTTCCCCTCCTGGGAATTTAGCCGGACACAGCCTGCATGTCCTGACAGGACATCCCGACAGGATCTGGGGAAGGCAGGACCTGTCCCACCCCACAACCTCAACCCAGGTGAGCTTCTCCGCAGACTCCTGTGCAGCAATCCTGGCAGAGGAGCTGCCGAGCTCTGTCACCATCACATCCCTCAGCCCCGAAGCGAAGCCACAGAGAGATTCACGGGTGAGAGGGATGCCGGAATCATGACCTGAGCGATCTCTTCCACAGCTGTGTCCTTCGGGCGCTGGTCGGAGCGGCTCTAATCCTCTTACCTACTCCGTGCCTACCTGCCGTAAGCCAGCAAGGTCCAGGGCTGGCAGCACCGGGATCGCGGCTCCTCCCGCGCCCTGCAGCACCTGCGGCGCCCCCCGCCCGCCAGCCCAGCCCTGCCCTGCCCTGCCCTGCCCTGCCCTGCCCACCCTGCCCTGCCCCGGCCCCGCTCGCACCCGCTGCCCGCGGGGGAGCTCCGCGACCGCCGGGGGCGCCGGGACCGCGGCCGGGGAGGGGGCGGCTGGGCAGGGGGTGACGACTGGCGACAAGGAGGGGCGACGGCGAGACGGGAGGGGGTGTCTGGCGCTCCCAAGGGAAGCTCCCAGCCGCGGCTCCCGGGAGCGGCTCCTACCTGCGGGCGGCTCCGGCGGCAGCTCCGGCCCCGGTGGCGGCGGCGAGCGGGGGCCGGGCTGGGGCCAGGTCCCCGCCCCGCCTCGCCCCGCCCCGGACGGGCGGGACAGCGGCCGCCGCGGCCATCGGGGGCTGTAGTTGGTGGTGGAGGTCTTATGTCGCTCTGACCGCCGGGTTTGGGGCTGTGGGACGCGGCCGCGAACGCCCCGGCCCTTCAGAGCATCCCCCGGGCACGGCCAAAACCAAGCCCCGTGTCCGGCCGCAGCAGCGCGGGCTGGCCGCGGGCTCTCCCTGGCGCAGCCCAGTGGGGGGGTCCCTGCGCTGTGCTCCCGTCGCTGCCCACCTTCCCCGGCCCCGGCAGCACCTGCCCAGCCAGCACCTGCCCAGCCTGCGGCTCTGGCTGTGCCTTCTGCTTCAAACCCCAGGGGCACTGAGGAGGGCTCGCCACCCTATCTCTGCAGCCTTCCCGGGAAGCGGTGCCCGTTTGGATGAGTATGTTGAAAGGCGTAGAAGAAGCAGCCACCCAGCAGCAAGAGACCCCAGGAACAGCCTGGGACATGTTGTTCTCTTCCACCTTTTTCCTTTTCCTACCAGGTGGTGGGCTTTGTGATCTCTGTAAAGTATCTCTGCGGTCGGAATTTTGAGAGGAAACGTTCCCAGCAAAACAGCTCCGCGATAACCATTTGGGACTGTTTCCTGGGGTGGAGGGATCCCTTTGCTGCCTGACCTTCATGGTATTAAGTCAACGTGAATGCTACCACTTTTTTTTCCTCTCCCTCCCCTCTCTGACAAGATGACTGATGGTATTTTTTGACAGTCTTGTTTCTTCTAAAATCCAAATAAGACAGTACTTATTGAAAGTTTTGTCGTGGTGCTATCACTTATGAACTAACACAAAACAGATGCCTAAATCCACGCCAGCCCCCAGAAGTGAGCTGAGTTGTACATCAGCACTTTATCAGCATTTCGTATACTGCCCTTCTAGGGACCAAGCAACACTCCTTCACCCTGCAGCTTTGGCCCTCATGGCACACCCTGAAGAGTTTTCATCTCTTTGATCCCGAGGGATTGAAAACCCCTCAAAGTGCTGATCCTCAGAGCAAGCACTACAACCAGCAGGCCCCCTGAGCCCTTACCAAAGTGGCTGCATCATCAAGGGAAAAGACAGACACTCTCACTGGAAGGCATGTGCTGTGTGTGCTTGATGTTTTAAAGGCTGAGGGAGCTATTTTTAGAGCTGAAAGAACATTCTTCCTGTTCTGGTATTTCAAATCTTGTGCTATCCAGGACTAATAAATGGTTCCTTGCAGCTTTTGCGTTTTTGCAACCCCACAAAATCCAGAGATCTTGGCCAGGTTTTCCGTCTGCGTGCACCTGACACTGTCCCATGGCTCTGCCACACACAGGAGCCACAAAAAATGACTGCTGGGCACGGCATTCCTTGGGCAAGGAGGTGCTATCAACCCCCATGTCACCAAGAGAGAGGCCCCAAAATCAGGTGCCTGTAAAAAAGTATGCTGGAAGTATCAGCATTAGCCACATCCCTAACGGCAAGGCTTCCTGTGATAGCAAAAGTCAAGGAAACTCGCTTTAAAAGTAACAGAGGAGAGTTGTTTGAGTCTCAGTATCCCCTGGCTTTCAGCAGCTGAGGCTGAAGAAAACCTTCTGTCAAACAGGTGAGAAGTGACAACGCGCAGCCCCGGTGATTTTGGCCAGAAAGGAAAAGGCAGCAACTAATCAGAAACTGCCTTAGTCACTTCACCTCTGCTGTCAGCCAAAGCTGGAAGGAAAACAATGCACCATATGGGATTTTAAAGCAATTTCATTTTTGGTAAACTCTGAGTGTCTGAGACATTTTGTTCACAGCTTTTTTTCGAGCAGATGGTGTCCCTGTGAGTGCTGGAAAATGCACGATGCTGACAGGCCCACCGAAAACCTCTCACAAATTAAAAAATCACAGCTTAAAAAAAGGGTACAGCCTGGGGACAACAGCCATGTGCTGGAGCACACCCAGTGCAGGAAGCAAGAGAGATGCAGGGAGTAATCAGCCATCAAGGGATGGTGTTACCTAGCTCCATGGAGATATTTCCTACAATCCCTTCTTCATGGGACAGCAGTCCCATGGGAGGAGCAGCCCCTCTCCTGTGAAACTCAACCTGCAGCATCCCCCTGTCAAGGGCTGTGAGGGTGCAAAGGGAGGTAGGGCACATGGGCATGTTGCTTCTGAGCTACATCCCACAGTAATGCTCCCCCTGCCTCCCTCACAGTAATACTGCGCATCCCAAATCCCACTGCAAGCCCACATTGACCTGTAGAAAGAGTTTTTCCTCCCACATGTCCACCAACACTACCTTGGCAAAAAGTCAAGTAGCCATAAGTACATTCCCTCCTCTTGTTTGGGGTTACCCACCACCTGGCTTTCCCAGGGGTAGGTGTGCCAGAGGCTGACACTGGTGTCTCTCCCTGCTAAGCCCATGACTTGGAAGACACAATTGCAGTGACACTGGTGGGCAGACGTGACAACGCTCCTGGGACACCGTGAGCAGCGCGTGACTTCTCCTGTCCCAGCCTACACTGGGTTTTCCTGCTGGGCCACTGAGACCCACTGGGGATGTGCCTGGCAATCTGCCTGGCCTGGAAAGCCAGCCTGCTCCAACGCAAGCGAATGTTCACAGTTATGGCTTTGCTTTGCTGCCTGTTCATTAGTATTTCCTCCCACTGATGCATTACAGCACGTGCACAT